AGATGAAGGGACAATGAAGAGAGTAAGGTTTCTGGAAGCCGCCACTTGGCATTTTTGCACATGTTGCAGTAGACAGAATTTTGTCACATGTCTGTACCAACTGCAAGGGTCATGGGGACATGGCTTCATGTTGGGCAGCGACAGGCCTTGCCCACGATTCTATTACATAGTAGAGGGGCTGATCAAATGCACCCAGAGATGGGCAGGGGGAGCCACCAACAGTCTGTACAATACTGGCCTGCGGCAAAACTTAAAAATTCCAGGACATTCCTAGCAGAGGTGAGACCAGCAGGGCCCTGAAGTTCTCAGAACAGTCCAGAGACTTGCCAGCATGCTTTGAGGAGCTAATCCGACATTTTACATCCTGGTTAAAATTTTCTTATAAAATATATATTTCTTAATTCTGAAAAGCTTCATTTTCAGAAAGATAATTTCTATTTTTGTTTTCTTATTACAACAGTAATAGAGACACCCATGCACTTCCCCTCCATCCATCACCAGATTTCATCAATTTTACATCCTAAATATCTCTCAAATGTATCTGCTTCTGTCATCCCTACCCCCATGTGGGTCCATGTCACCATAGTCTTTCATTTGGTCTATGGCAGAGGACTTCCACTGCTCCCCCTCCCCAAATCCAGAGATCTCTTGTCCCCTTATCAGTTCTCCTCTAGGAAGCCACAGTGAACTTTAGAAACACAGATCTGATCACTCTCCCACAGTCTCAATGTCTTCCCTCCACTCCTACAACAAAAAGCAAGCCCCTTAACATGGTCCACGAGTGCTAAATACAGTCTGGCCCTGCCCAGCCCCTCCTCCCCACCTTCCTTTGTGCTCTTCGGCCACCCTGACCTTGCAATTTCTTAGTGGCACCCCACTCTCTTCTGCCACAGGGCCTTGGCACGTGCTGTTCCCTGTCTGGAAGCCTCACTCTACCGCATGTCCCCCACCCTCTTTGTCAAGTTTAGCTCTGTCCCTCCTTCTTCCTGAAGCTCACTTTTTCAGGGATACCTTCCCTAACTTGTTACACTTCTCTCTGTATAATGGAGATGCTAAAAAGGACTACTCAAAGCACCATGAATGGGATGAGAAGCCCAAAGGGACTGCACCTCAGCAACTCCTCTTAGAAAGAGGAAACTGGGTACAGCCCCGATTCAGAGTTAGCTTCTGTTTTTTATTGTAAAGACAAGGAAGTTTCACAAGAAAAATCAGTTGATTCAATCATTATGAAAGGACACAAAGACATGGGTGGTGTGACAAAAGTTATCTATGGCTAAGTATAGCTTAAACAATGGAAACTAGTCACATCGGTAAAGTTAACAATGTGACATTCCAAAGTAAAATTAGCGAAAAGCTAATTGTCAAACTGCGATCATTATCTAAAATATAACCTCTTCTTAAATGATTTAAGCAAAAGTTACATTCTTATGATAAAATCTAAGTATAATTATCTTAGAGTTTCCACCAACAGACAGCTTGCACTTAGCAAAATTTTTTCACATCTTTCCTTTCAGCAATTCTTAAAATCTCTTAACAGGATTGGTATGACAACCACCTGTTAGCTCTAAAATCATTAAAGTATACAATCCCATACCTAAGCAGTGATTAGAGTTGATTAGACGGGCTGTTGCCATGCTATCTGTAGACTGTTGTCTCTTAACAAAGGACTGTTGCCGCATACATGCATTTACCTAAAAACCCTATTCTAAAAATCAAATGAGAATCAACATATATTTAACTAGAATTGATTAAGTGGGCTATTGCCATGCTAACTGTGGGCTGTGGCCCCCTGACCAGAGACTGTTGCCTCATGCATGAATTCACCTAAAAACCCTATTATAAAACTCAAACAAGAATCAAGATTTCTAACCCTCTACACTAACTGGCACACCCCCCCACAACCCCCACCTTTAGAGTCCTTTTATACCTATAAACTCATCAATGTGCTTATTTGACTAAATTTTGTTTCCCCAACTAGGTAGAGTCCAAGTCCCATGAGGCCCAGACTATTTTTGTACCCTGTTGTATTTCACCTCTGGTGCAGCCTTAAGCTCAGTAAATATAAACATAAATATATGCTAATTAAAATCATCCGTAATCTCACATTCCAGAATAACCACTGTCTTCAGATTCTGATATGTTTCTAAAATTGTTTGCTAACATTAACATTTACATTTTGTGTCGGTAATAATGATTTTGGAGTCGAGATCTGGGACCCAAATCCTCATATTAGAATTCCTGGAAAAGCACTTTGCCCACTTAAAAACAGCCTAATGTGAGAGGTGAATGAGGACGGAAGACAACAGTCTGAGAAAGAGGAAAACTGGCTTGCTTTGGGTCTTTTCCCCTCAGTGACAAAATCCTGATGTGACTTCCCCATGATAAATGCAACTGTGGGAAGAAGGGGGAGGCAAAGCCGGGGAGGCCCCGCCAGCACGCAGCCCGGCCTGGCCCTGCCACCGCAGGCTCTCCCCTTTACAGTGATTCTTTGCTGCCCATCAGAGGTGGTTTCAAAACCCAGGTCATTTCCTGGAACCGTGAGTACACGTGCCACCCACACACCTCAGCCTGTTATCTGTTCTTTAGCCGGAACATCCGTGGGCTCATCAGCGTTTGTCACTGTCGTTTTAAACGCAAAGGGAAAACAGGCTCAGATGGGCAGTGCCCCGGCTAGCAGGGCTGGCGCGTGGGCGCGGCCCCGCTGTCCTCCCCCGGTTGTCACCCGGGTGGGTGACAAACGAGCGTGCACGTTCTGAAAACCAGCGAAGAAGTCCGCCCGCGGTGGCCGGCCCGAGGCCAGAGCCCGGAGGCCCCCGAGTCCCCAGGAGCCCAAAGGACCCGACGGTCCGGGTGGCGGCCCGCGGGGAGGCCGCAGGGCCCAGCTG